CCCCCCCCCCCAAAGCACGCTACGCCACTGATTACGGTACATAGGGCTCTTACACAAAACTGCGATGCTAATTGCTGCGATGCGATATTGTACGACAAGGCGTCTCTCAGGGTGACCTTTCCTTCGACGACCGTCAACCGTACTAAACGTATTTTTACCGACTTCAAAAAGGAGGAGGATTTTCGGCTGATTGTTTTTTTTATTTGTTCGCCGATTACTCCGCTATTTTTGAACCGATTTCCAAAATTCTTGTTTTGTGTGATAGGGTATACTCCCGAGATGGTCCCATTTCCACGAAGTCACGATCTAATGATGGGATCCTATAAAAGTTAAAATAAAAACTGCGTTTAAAAAACTGACTTCAAATAACCAAAAATTAATAAAAAACAAAAAGTAAAAACGAAAACGCAAAAAAATAAAATAAAAAAGAAATAAAATAATTTAAATTAATAATTTTGTGTAGAACTTATGGACCCAACTTTTCACTATTTATGTTATGAGTCCCATGTAATAGGGGGTGAGACTATTGCCATATACCGGGCACAATTCCAGACTCCGTGCTACTACTGAGATTTATTTATTATTTCAGGAAACACACAGGGGAGCGGCCGTACAGTTGTGACATGTGCTCCCTACGATGTATCTCTAGTTCCAATCTACGCGCGCATCGCAGACGACATTTAGGAGTTAAGAAATATGAAGTAAGTAGTTTCTGTATATTATTATTTCTATTTATTTATTTAAAATTCTCTATAAATTACATTTTTAAATACTACTTACAAAATAAAAAATAAAATTAAAAATATAAAAATAGGAGCCGACCAGTAGCGGGAGCATGCTCCAAGCTACCGGTGGTTAGGGCTTCAGAGACAGAAACCTCCTCACGATACGTGCCGTTTCAAGGAGAACTGCCTTCTGTATCAGGCCCTTGACCCAACTACCTACCGCTAGCCTCCTAAGGTGGTTGTCGAGGCTATTAGGGATTAACCCATTGGCGGACACGACTATCGGCACAATGATAGCCGAATCTACATTCCACATGTCGACAACCTCGTGAGCCAAATCAAGATATTTGATTTGTTTATCTTTTTCAGCTTTCACGAGGTTCTCATCATGAGGAATAGTGATATCGATTATCATCGTGCGGCGCACTTGTCGGTCTATCACCACTATATCAGGTTTGTTGGCTATAATAGTCCTGTCAGTGATGATAGACCGGTCCCAGTACAACGTGATATGGTCATTTTCCAGAACTGGGTCGGGCACATACTTGTAGTACGGTACCTCAGACTCAACAAGTCGATAGTGTAAAGCAAGTTGCTGATGGATAATCTTGGCTACTTGATTATGCCTATGCAAATATTCACTGTTAGCCAAACGACCACAACCAGAAATAATATGTCTAATGGATTCACCAGGACTATGACATGCCCGACATATGTCAACCGTCCCATCCTTAATTATATATTTCCGGTAGTTATTCGTAAGGATAACTTCGTCCATAATTGCACAGACAAATCCTTCAGTTTCTCCAAAGAGATTACTGAATCGTAGCCAAGACACGGACGCTAGAAAATCTACACTGGGCCCATGAAGGGCCCGGAAGAAGCGTCCGTGGAGCTCCTTGCTATGCCATACCGCCTTGCGATCATTGACGCTCAGTACCACAGGTTTGCGCCAGTTCTCTTTTGCCAAGGATAGCGGAGTGAATCCATTGTCCACCGCTGCTACTTCTCGATGCATACCCTCGTTGACTTTCAGGAAATATTCCCTGAGGCTGCACACCTCACGGTTGTGAAGGGTCTTAGCATTTAATAAGCCTCGACCACCACACTTCCGCGGGATGTACAACCTCATGACCGATGAACGAGGGTGATGCATGCGATTTGCGGTTAGCAGGGTCCGGACTCGCCTATCCAAGGTGTCAAGTTCAGTCTGAGTCCACTTGAGTATACCAAAAGAATACATTAGGACTGGCACGACCCAACCGTTAAAGGCTCGCACCTTGTTTCCGCCTGATAAGGAACTTTTCAGTACCTTATTCAGGCGACCAAAGAAGTGCTCCTGTAACGATTGCTTCATGTCCGGTCCATTAATGCCTAATCCTTCTGACATACCCAGGTACTTGTATGTATCGTTTGCGGAGAGTGATCTCAGCTTTGTGAAATCTGAGAGTTCTAGACCCTCAGATTCCACAATCCCTCCTCGCTTTACATGCATGACCGCACACTTGTCCACTCCAAACTCCATTCTGATGGAACTACTAAATTTTTCAATTATATTCAGTAGTTCCATCAATTGTTTCTTGTTTGGAGCAAACAACTTGAGGTCATCCATGTAAAGTGGGATATAACTAGACCCCTTCTCCGCAAAGAATATCCTAACCCTGAATCCTCTAGTAGAGTACTTAGAGGATTCAAGGCCAAGCAGAACCATAGTGGGCTCAGGCTGTCACCCTGGAATATTCCTCGTACTATCCTTACAGGTTCTTCATTCCCTTGGATTTGTCTACATCCCGGATAGCAAAGCACAGTGCTCCACTGCCTCATACATGACTCCAAGAATTATTATTATTATTAGGTATGTATATTTGGGAGGTGCCGTAACAGGCGTTGCTCCGTGGGGGCTCCGGGGTTGGTCTACTAAGAGGACCCGGTGCCTCCTTCAGGTGCGAATGGTGGCCACCGGGGAGGTTTCAGTGAGTTAAATATGCCACGCTCCCTAGTGGTTTTTCCCCAAAAAGCTAGGCGCCTTTTGAAGTTGCCGTCAAAAAAAAAAAACAAAAAGGTATATTTGACTGCTTCTTTGGCCGAGTGGTCTCAGTTTCGATTCCCGGGTCGAGCAAAATGTTACTTACTACGGACAAATTATTGGTAGCATGGAGTCTGGAATTGTGCCCAGTATATGGCAATAGGATCACCCCCTATTACATGGGACTCATAACATAAATAGTGAAAAGTGGGTGTTACATTGTACAGTGGTATTAAGTGCCGTAATGTGCACCTCTGCCTACCCCTTCGGCAATAAAAGGCGTGATGTTATGTTATGTAGTTTTTATGTACAGTCCGCCAATTTATTAAGTATGCAGGCAACAAAAACAAGTTTGATTCAGTACAGAGACAGTAATCATTGGTTGGCTACTGAACCGACCAATGCTCACAAAACATTTGGCACAAAGCATTTTCAATACATAGTATAAAACAAAGTCGCTTTCGCTGTATGTCCGTATGTATGCTTAGATCTTTAAAACTACGCAACGGATTTTGATGCGGTTTTTTTTTAATAGATAGAGTGATTCTTAAGGAAGGTTTGTATGTATAATACATGCATATTGCACCCGTGCGAAGCCGGGGCGGGTCGCTAGTCTACTATATACACATAACATACTTGTTCTTTTATTACAATGATGACAACTATAAGAAATAAGTTTTTTAAAGTTGGTTTTTTTAATGCTGGATCACTGGGTACGGGTCATGATGACTTAATTGGGGCACTAGCCAGGCATTGTTTTGATGTGGTGGCTATTAACGAAACTTGGTTGCGACCTGGACAGGAGGGAAGGGCTCCTGTGGTGCCAGGCTATCGTCTACGTCACACGCCGCGGCCTATGAGTGTGCGCTCGGGCCGCGGTGGTGGGGTTGCTTTTTATCTTCGCCGGGGATTAAGCGCGCGTATTTGTACTGCGGTGGTTGATCCCATGTTCGAATCAGTTGAACAAATGTGGCTGACACTGACATTGAACGGGAAAAAAATCGCCGTAGGTACGGCCTATCGACCGCCTTGGCTTGACCTGGTCCTATTTTTGGACGCCATAACGGAATCTATCAGTTCACTGGGAGACTGCGACCACTACATACTACTTGGCGATTTTAATGTTAATTTACTGGACACTGTTGGCATAAAGACGAATAAAATTAACGAATTTCTTAATTGTCTCAATCTCACGCAACTGGTTTCCAGTCCCACGCATTTCACATCATCCAGCGAAACTCTCATCGACCTTCTGTGCTCGGATATGATGGCAAGGTTTGTATCCGTGGAACCACTTGGCTCTCTTTATGGCCATTCCATTATAGTGGGTGAATTTCATATTAGGCGAGATAAATTCAAACCATACATAATAAAATATCGGCCTCTTAAAGATGTTTGCATAGATGGGTTGGGGAAGGATTTATCACTTTCAGGCTTGGAGTACATTTCCTTATTAGACAATGTTGATGACATGGTTCATTTCTTTAACACTCACATGATCGCCCTGTTTGATGCTCACGCGCCGGTAAGGACTTGCACGATTAAGGAGAAATCATATCCGTGGATTACTGATACCATAAAACTTATGATGCGTTTACGTGACGATGCACTAAGTGCTTGTAGGAAAAATAAAACAGAGTCTAAAATTAAATACTATAAGGAACTAAAGCGCCTAGTGATTAAGTCATTGCATAGTGAAAAAGTTGCGTACTTCAAACATAATATAAATAATAAAATTAAAAACCCAAAATTATTATGGAAAAATTTGAAATCTACTTTGTTGCCGTTCAAAACTATTCAAGATCTACCGTCTCAATTTACAAATCCTGACCAAATTAACAAAAACTTTTTGATGGTGCCTGGTAACCTTACAGCCAACGAGTCACTGATGACGTTTTATGAGAAAAATAAATACGGTGAAGCTACTTTCTCTATCAGTCCAGTAGAACCGAATGTCGTCTCACGAATTGCCACAAATCTTAAGAGCAACGCTGAGGGCCACGACAATATCACTTTGGACATGATAAATATGACACTACCGCACTCATTAAACGTTATAACTCAAATAATTAACTGTTCCATTGAAACTTCAACGGTTCCCGAGCAATGGAAAATTGCTTCAGTTAGGCCATTACCGAAAAATTTAAACCCAACTGAATTGAAAGATCTACGTCCTATTAGCATTTTGCCGTGTTTGTCCAAGCTATTGGAGAAAGTCGTTAGTCAACAGTTGATTCAATTTTTGGAACAGAATAGTATTCTACCTGACTTACAATCTGGGTTTAGGAGGCAACGCAGTACGTCTACTGCTTTGCTGGACGTTACGGATAATATTCTGGTAGCTCAGGATCAGGGAATGTGTACAGTGCTTGTCTTGCTGGATTTTTCCCGCGCCTTTGACGCAATAAATATTCCCCTATTATTGTCCAAATTGAGTTATTACGGTTTTGCGCCTAGTGCCGTGCAGTGGTTCCGCAGCTACCTCACGAATAGGAAGCAATTTGTCGATTTGCATCTGAGTGATGGCACTACTCTTAGATCATCCTATATGACAGTAGAGAGAGGAGTGCCTCAGGGCTCCATCTTGGGTCCGATTATTTTTATTCTCTATTGTGCAGATATAATTAAATGCATCCATAAATGTAAATACCACATATACGCCGATGATGTCCAGGTTTACATATCTTTCCGTCCAGATGAGTACCATGATGCCATTAAGGATCTTAACGATGATCTACACAGAATTGCCACCTGGTCTGAGGAGCACTGCTTGTCATTGAATCCAACAAAAACCAAATATTTGGTATTTGGCTCAAGACAACAGCTTGCAAAGTTACCTCCATCATTTGACCTGAGATTAATGGGCGAGCAAATTGAGCGAGTGTATGAGGCAAAAAATTTGGGGTTGGTAATGGATAAAGACTTGCGTTTTGAGAGACATGTGGCAGAGTCTGTTAGAAATTGTTTCTATCGCCTGAAGGTCTTATACAGAATGCGACCGTACCTGTCAGTGGCATTACGGGAGCGGCTGATAGAGACCTTAGTTCTTTCTAGGTTAAACTACGTAGACACGGTGTATGGTCCACGCCTGTTAGCACGTACAGATCGGCTCATTCAAAGGGTCCAAAATGCTTGCGCTCGTTTCTGTTACAACATTCCTTGCAGAACCCATGTAACACCATATCTGAACGAACATTTCATATTAAAAATGAAATCCAGACGCAAGCTGCATCTGGCCTGCCTTTTATTTGGTGTAGTTAAATACCAGAAACCGGACTACTTATTCCAAAAATTAAAATGGCTTACGGGCCGGCGGGAATGTGAAAGAAGGCAATGTTCACAGCAACTTACGACCAAGTCATATGGTACAGCCGCTTTCAGGGGCAGCTTTCGCTATGCGGCTTCCAAAGTGTGGAATAACCTCCCACCACCTATTAGAGGAACAAATTCAATGGGTGCATTTAGAAGACGCTTGCGACAATACCTCATCGATACACAGCGAAGGCTTGATATGGTGGTGCAAAATACCTCAATTATATAAGTAATGTACCCGTGCATTCTGTTCATACACACGCAATATAATTTTTATCATATTTAATAAATCTTTTTTGGCTAATTACTATACCCTATTATTATATGTATGTATGTATTATGGTATAACTATATTAATTACTTAATAATTTTATAATACACTTCACACGCTACTCTGCATTTACTGCTTACGTCCGTTGCGTCACAGCCACAGGTTCAGTTGAAAACCAGCGTCAGGCACTAGATGTCTGGCATTTATGCTGAACTGGACCTTTTTTGGTGCAGCTGTCAGGCACATGATTATTGTTGGTATATTTAACTTTTTAAATTTTGTATATACCTACCTACATCTGTTTATGTTCTTTTTTTAATTTTTCTATTTCACTCCTAATTTTTTGTTTGCATTGTATTTATTGTATTGTGTTTGTGCCTGGTGTTGTACCAAATAAATTATTTTTCTTTCTTTCTTTCTTTCTATATAAAAATAAGTCGGGTTTTCCTTCCTGACGGTATAGCTCCAGAACGCACGAACCGATTTCAACGGTTTTGCATTCGTTGGAAAGGTCTCGGGCTCCGTGAGGTTTATAGCAAAGAAAATTCACTAATTACTAAACAAAATGTTACATGAAACGAAGCCATCTGGTGGCGAAATGGTTCGCCGGGTTTGCTAGTGTAGTTTATTTATAGTCTATATATTGAGTAAATTATTTTCACACAAAGAGTTGTTCCGTACAGGAATGTTTCGGGACACCTTACTCAGCAGTCAGTTACCCTGCCTGCGTTAACATAAGAAAATGGAATAATATTATTCATGTTGTCAAAATCGGAACGACAAAAAAATTAAAAAATTCAGTACCACAGACATTAATTTGTCTAAAAATCAATCTTATCTTTTTGTAATAAAGTTGAATTTATAATGAATTATATTTCTATTTCAGTGCAGAATATGCAGCAAAAAGTTCGGCTACAAAGTGAGTTTAGAAGAACATATTTCATCAGCTCATGTTCGCTCTGAATCTCATCCTTGCGAGCATTGTGGCGCCACCTATACAAGACTTAGGGGACTACGGCGCCATCTAGTTTCCAAACATGGAAAACAAGCTAAAACCAAACCCGTAGAACAAAACTTATTAGTTCAAGTTACGCAGACAGATGGCGGTAAAATTGATATTCTAAAAGAAGTTGAGTACGAATTGAAGGATGGAGATAATGTTTTGCTTTTAAAACATCAAGACGGCGATGTTTATATGGTGTAAATAAATAATTTGATGTATAATTAAAGAAATGAATTATTTTGATTGTTTTATTTTTTTATTTAACGCCATCTAGTGGCGAGTACCAGTAGTAAAACTTTTATCAAGCATATTTCAAGAGGTATAATTATCTCATCACATTTTTCTTCATCTTATCCTAATTTTAATTTACAGCATAAAAAATAATCCTCAGTTATCATTTTCCTTTCGGCGTTTAAAAAGACAGGGAATAATAGTTTATATCCTTCTTTCCGGATATTTTTCAGGTTAGTATTTCTACCGACCAACAGATGGCGGCGTAACCTGATATTTGTTTTAATTTTCTTCCCATTTTGTAATACACTTCTTAAGATAACATTCCTTTAATCTTCTAAATAAACTCCACGATATTTTTTATGACTAAAAATATACTATTTTAAATTTAAAACAATCGTATTTGAATTACAATATATTTTTTGTCGTTTTGCAAATCTTTCATTTTTTAGTATTTCTACCTACCGATAGGTGCCACTGTAACTCAAATATGAAACGTGTTTCCTCAGAATATAAACACGTCATGTCACTTAAAAATGACTGAAGCTCCAACAGGATCATGGGCATTTTAATAAGAAAGTTGGACGTTGAACCAACAGAAATGAAATGTCATTTTTATTGATAAGAATTCGTTGTCTAAGTTAGGTACCTACTTACGTGAATATAAATTTTATTTTTACAAAGTATGGAGTGTCACTTCAAATGTTGGCAATTAACGTTGTGACACTCTTAATTTCGTTTATTTCTCCTTTAAAATCAAGTGCACTCATAGTTTTTTAATGCTATAATCATTATCGAGGGGTAACGGACTAATTGGTTTAAGCGACATTTTGGGCGATTTTGAGTTATATATATATTCGGAATCAGCGAATCTTTCTTCGTCGAATATATGTAATAACTCAAAGTCGCCCAAAATGTCGCTTAAACCAAATAGTCCGTTACCCCTCGTTATAATACTTGAATTAACATATTGAACAGAACATCACCCCTTTTTTCCCCGAAGGTCTATAAAGAGATATACAGTAACAAGAAACAAAGACCTTTCGCCAGTTAAGTATGTTAATATTTGGCGCGTCGCGTTCCGCGCACGCCTCAAAGAGCCATCAGACCACCACAGATGGGGCCCAATAGGGCCGATGCTGATTCGGAGTCGCGAAGAACCTAACGGGTAACCGGGCCTCCGGCTCGACGTGCAGGAGAAGGAACGGGGTGGTTTTTAGTCAGTAAGAGTCTGACACTCCCTCCCGCCTCACCCAGGCGGGAGCAGTCATTCGATGATTTTCCCTCTAAAAAAAAAAAAATATGTTAATATTTACGTATAATTAGGACGAATGTATGACTATACTCTGTGCACAATTACAGACTTTATTAGTGCTGTGTATAAATTCATTGAATGCCTAGTCCGACCCAAAAAATCCGACCCGAAGATCATCAAAACGCTCAGAATTCAAAATTCTTATCAATATGAATATAATGAAATATGGGACATTAATGATTTCGTCGTTGGTTGAAGTGTTTGTAAAAGTGCAGATGGAGGCGAAGGCGCGCGGTGACACGTCGTCTCGGGGCGAAACTTGAAAACGCTGCCGCGCCAGATTAGTGCGTGGCGGGAAGAACTCTGGCGCGATCTCATAGCAGAATGGCAGCAACGACCGTCACAACCGAGGGCTGGGCTCGCTGCCATTGCAGCAGTAAGTCCTCTCTTTGATTGGCTTGAGGGACGCTACGGCGTCCTCACCTATCTCCTGACGCAGGTCCTCACCGGACATGGGAGCTTCTTCGGGAGGTACCTGTGTCTAATAGGGCGGGATAAAACACCGGTGTCATCCCTGAGGACACGTGGAACACACGTGTCAGGGGCATACCCTGTATGGGCTGAGGACCACCCTGCCCTCGGGATGTGATCGGCAATGGCGACCTCTCGCGTACGGCCCTAGTTCAGGCCATAAAGCGGTGCTAGGAGGCCTGTGATGCCGTCTCCTCCTTTGCGAAGCAGTCATGCTAGCTAAGGAGGAGGCGGGACGCGTGAGGCAGCGAAGCGCTGCCTCCTCGCAACCCAGCCATCGCGAAGGACACACCGGGCGTCGGGGATCGCGGGCTTGCAGACGGCGAGCATGAGTAGCTCGCTGTTCGACCAGAATCAGACGTGAGCGTACTATGGCGCAAAAAATTGTCATTGCAGAATCGAGATCTCACGTTCGACTCCCAGACTGACAAAAATTTTAGTTTTCGCATTTTAGACATTAATTATAAATACTTCAGAGTCTGGAACCGTGTTCTGATTATGGTCATAAACTCATTCCTATTGTACTAGACCCATAACTAATGAAAGTGGATTGCTTTCAGTACCTACATAACATGCATCTGTACTCGACTGTTCGGGAATTAAAAGGTGTGATGTGTGTTATCCTATAAATATATTATATATTTGATCTCATTCTTACAAAATTTTGGTCCTATTGCCTATTTAGAAAGTTAAACCCTACGTAGGGTAACCTTTTTTAATGGGGGGAAATCCTCATGGACTGCTTCGATACCACATCGGGCCGCGTAAGGAGACCGACTACTCCAACCTCGCCTGCTGTTGCAATTGCAGGCAACGAGCGAATCCGACGCGACAGCCATCGGTCTGGGTCGTACGTCCCTCATTAAGATGACCACGTTAAGATGACCCCGTCATCGTCGTCGTAATATTTTAGCGACTGCACGCTTAGTGCGGCGGGTAACCGGCTACCGCAAGTACAAGCTTTTGACTACGTTGATCACAGAATCCTATTGCAGAAACTGGAGGCTTACGGAATACGCGGAAATATTTTAAATCTTATTCAATCGTATGTAAGCAATAGAAAACAATACACAGAAATTACTAGGATTAATGTAAAAACAAAAAAAGAGGAAATTTTCGTATCAGACGAACTCTCTCCTCTATACGGTGTCCCACAGGGCAGTGTATTAGGGCCATTGTTATTTATTTTATATATAAATGACCTGCCTAAAATTATTGACTACCCTATAACTCTATTTGCCGATGACAGTACAATGACCATAGAATGTAAAAATATTTTGACATATGAATCTGACATTAATAACTCCTTGACATCAATAATAACTTGGTTAGATAGAAACAATTTAAAAATTAATTTGAATAAGACAAACATTATCCATTTCAGCCAACGTGACCAATCTAAATCAAATGTAAATGTTGCCTACAATGACACAATAATCAATGAAGTTGAATCCACCAAATTTCTCGGTATAATAATTGACAAGAAATTGAATTGGAAACATCACATTGAGAATTTAAGCAAGAGACTAAACTCATCTGCGTATGCACTATACAAACTTGTACCAGTGCTTAATCCAGACGCTCTAGTGAAAGCGTATTATGGATTGGCTGCATCAGTGTTGCGTTACGGTGTAATTCTACAGACAAAGAAATTGTATTCAAGTCCCAAAAAAAATGCCTTAGGGCCATGTTTAACCTAAAGTCAACAGAGAGCTGTATGCCTATCTTTAAAAAATATAAAATACTAACTCTACCATCTCTTTATATTCTTGAAACTGCGACTTTCGTAAAAACGAATCCTGATCTTTTCCCACGTCTGTCTGACACTGTGCCTCGGAATAGACGGGATAACAGCAGACTTCGCCTGAAACCCGCTACGACTGCTCTTATGCACAAAAACGTTTTTTGTATGGCGCCAATAATTTATAATAAAATTCCACGGGATTATAAATGTTTAAACACCAATATGTTTAAGATAAAAATGAGACGCTTACTAGCAGAAAAGTGTTACTACTGTTTGAATGACTTTCTGGCTGACACTACTTTTTGACACTGTATTAATAAATGTAGACCGTAATAATATTTAATAATACTTTTTTGACATCTTAATATGAATTGTAATTACTATAAATTGAATTTGTACGCCCCTAAGGGCAAAACAAGTATTGGACACTGATTTTAAACAATTAACATCTTGCATGCATTTGTATGAATGACACTTGTTTATGTAAATAAATTATCTTTATCTTTATCTTTATCCGCGCAGCGTGTCGCGGGTTCGATTCCCGCACGGAGCAACTCTTTGTGTGATCCACAAGTTGTTGTTCCGGGCCTGAGTGTCATTTGTATGTGAACTTGTATGTTTGTAAACGTATCCATGGGGCTTAAGGGGCGACGCTTTTTTTAAACAAATTTCTGCCGACGGCTTCGTCCCCGTTTCTATGTTATAGAAAGTAGCCTATATGTGTTATTTCAGACCATAATCTAATCTATCCCTGTTCATTCCGATCTCTTCAGCCGTTTTGACAAACGTACACACAAACACATTCCAAACATTTGAATTTACTATATTAGTAAGATTCTGACTGATTGATGGTCCCGTTTAAAACATAACATAACATACCATCACGCCTTTCATCCCCGAAGGGACTTAATGCCACTGTACTATGTAACACCCTCTTTTCACTATTTATATTACGAGTCCCATGTAATAGGGGGTGAGTCTATTGCCATATACCGGGCACATATCCAGACTGCCTGTGATAATAATAATAAGTAATAATAATAAGTTTTATTTAGCAAAAAGTTACAGAAATGTACATAAGTAGACATAACAAGTGGGTAGACTAATTCTAGGCATTACAGTTTGTTGCAAAGATTTCTGTACAGAATTATAGTAACCCTGCCTCTTAAACTAGGATATCCTGTATTTTAAGAGACAGTGTCTAGCTTATAAATTTACCATTTCTATACAACAGTGGTCAGTGTCGATCTACCGTTTAAACTTGACAGCAGTAATAGTTGTGAATGTACGAGTAGAATGTGGAGTGGATGTGTAGTGGTGTGATGTGGTATGTGTTTGTTGTGGTTTTGTGTGTGTGAATATAGGGGTGAGTGTGTGTGGATGTATGTGTGAATATGTTTGTAGTGTACGGTTCTACATTTAGGCGATGTAAGTAAGTAAAGACTCCGTGTATGAGTAGT